GTATGAAGAAGACCAACTTAACCCTTCTTCCCTGAAATGGCCCTGCTTTCACCTCTTATCAGTTAGTCTGTGTATAGGAAATAATAGCATAGCTCTTATTTCTGTCTTAAGCAGAACAAACCTGGAGGTAGGCAGTTTTGCAGCCTAGTACCACGGCATGATGTATATGCATGGCCAGGAAGGTGTCTGCTCTTTGGGGTATTGATTCCCTTGCTTTGCAATGTCAGGAGAGGACCTTATGTTTATCTCTCTTGTTTCTCTTTCTTGCTTGCCCCCCCCTTTTGTTTTTAAATTTTTTTGTTTTTGTTTTTGTTTTCTTTTTTAAAGATAGGGTTTCACAGGGCCAACAGGTGGCACGATGGATAAGACACTGGATTCCCACATGGGCAATTGCAGTTCATGTTCCTGACCCGGCAGCTTGAAAATTGCCCTAAGCATGTATGTGTGCCCCAAATCTCCAGAGCAGAATGAAGAAGGGATTGCAACATGGTCATACCACCACCCCTCCCTGCTGGGGTGGAGGTGATTTCTCACTTTCCTTCTCTGGCTCTCTCTGGGGAACACACAATCCCTATATCAAAAACCTAAAGGAAAAAAAAAATGATGAAAGGATAGGATTTCACTAAGTTGTCATTCTACTGCCTCAGCCTCCCGAGTAGCTGGCAATACAGTTATGTGCATCCACACTCAACTTTTAGGATCAGCTGGGAATTGAACCTAGGCCTCCCATGTTGCCTTAGCCTGACATAAAGTAGCATCAGCCAGCATGTTCTACCACAGTTGACTGGTTGTGGTTTATTGAATGAGATATATCCTTGCACATTTTGCTTTTTCATCAATAGTTTACTGAGCTTGGGGAGGCAGACGGAGTGGGACTCCAGGACTGATAGCCTGTATTCAGCCTAGTTAAAGGCTTGGAATCAGGTCTGCTTCTGAGGACTTGGAGATGTTCCTGCTTCCTTGAAGCTCCGGAGATTCTGTCTCTTTGCTTTCCCAGCAGGATGGGCCGCACAGCTGCCAGCACTGCAGCTGCTACAGAGCTGTTCCTGGCAGCCTGTGCTCCCCTCACTGCACCCTGATGATCTCAAAGGTCGTGAGCAATAAAAAGCACCTCCTCTTCAGGGCCAGGAAAAGAGGGACTCGTCGTGGGGAGGGTCACAATTCTAAGATGACGTTGTTTGTACAGAGTGCAGAAATTGACATCCTCGGAGAGAAAACAATCTTCCTTCCTTCCTTCTCTACCTGGTTTATTTGTGAGTTTTCTGGTTAGAACTCCATTTGACGCAGTTCAGATTTGTTTGTCTAAATTCTGAGGTTGGCGCCTCACTGTTGCCATTTCTGCTTCAGGCGTTTCGTTTCTGCTTGGCCAGCCCTATGTTGGTATTAAGATTTGGACTGTCACGTTTGTAGGCTGTGAGGGCAAGAGTTGAGAATGCCAGAGTTGAATGGAACCTTCAGTCCAGCGTGGTAGGGAGGTTTGTCGGTTCTGATCTCCAGCCTCAAAATAGAATCATTTGGAGAGTGAAATAGAATCACTTTTTAAAAAGTATTGGTATTTGGATCCCATTGTAGACCAGTTACACCCAAATTTAGAGGTATGAGGTCCAGGGCATAAGTGCATGCGTGTGTGTGTGTGTGTTTTCTTTTTTTAAAGCAGCCCAGGGTTCAGAGTCAGAATTCTAGTCCAGAAATGGCCTTTTACAGATGGAGAAATTGATGATCTAGCGTTCAAATGACTATTTAAAGGACACCATTAGTGTCATTTGGGGATCTTTTTTGTACAAGAGGCAGAAAAATGAGCTTTGCCAGGTAATTGATTTCACGTAACTATAAAGCCTTGGACAAGATTGGTTTCAAATTGGCTTTTTCCAAGACTGATTTTTTTGCCCCCCCCCCCAAGGTTCATTTATTTATTTATTTAGAGAGAGACCAAGACCCACAACAGGGTCTTCACGCTGTGATCCACCCCAGCCTCAGCCAGCCAATCACAGGCACATGGATACGTGCGCCTGACATGTGCAGGGAGACCAGATGTTTCCCATGTGGGCTCAGCATCACAGAGCCTGGTTTTACCACGTGCCACAGCTGCTGGCTTCAATTTTGACAACAGAATTGATCCATAGGTTTTGACTCCTCTGTTGTGATTCCAGTTTTGAGCTCCTCTTTTGCTATCCTACCTGATCCTTAACCACCCACTTGGGACTTCGTGTCATAACCCCTTCAGGAAGAAAGAAGAATCTTTCATTGGCTAATGTCTCTAGGCCCAATACATCACAGGGGCCAGAAAATGGGACAGTGATTGACTGGGTTAAATCAACAAAGACTCACCCCTAGAGCTGGCAGGAAAGGTGGATGTTCAATTTGTGATGCATAGCTAGGGTGGGGTAGATTATGATCATTACAGAAACACATCTTACAGCAAATTTCTACTATATTGTCAGGCATGTAAAACACATTGTATGCCCAGGGCTGAGTTAGATGCTCTGTCCACAGTAACTTGTGCTGTTTTCAAAACAATCCTGTGACAAGGAAACAGGTTCAACCACATGTATTAATAGAAGACACATTCATTATTCACATTCATTACTCTTTGTCCTGATACAAAGTATTTGGGAATAATTATTTGTATTCACTGAGATACATAAAAAAATTGTTATGTGCATAGAAAGTAAATAAGCCTAAAAATTACTTATTTAGTGGAACAAAATAATAGATTAGGAGGCTAGACGATTGGACATTTTATATTCGATCTTACAGTGATCAACTTCCTGGATCCCTGAATGGCTCATCTGCAAAACTGTAGGATAGGTACCTAAACCGTCACTGTACTTAAAAAAAAAAGAGTAGTAATTTAGGTGTTGACTTTGTCATTCAGGACCAATGAGTAGAATAGAGATGACACCGGTTTTACATTATCGATGTGTGTTTGGAGTTTACAAGATGCGTATTTCCTTCTGAAGGGTTCCTCTTTATAGAATATCTTTGTTAAGCTTTACTTGTCTTAATGCTAGTCCCTGCGACTGAAGTGTCAGCATTAAGTTCTTTATACATTACATATAATGTTTCTATTTTTTTTGTCATGACTGTCATCACATTGTCAACAGTCTAATGCCATCATGGTGATACTCCTATTCCACTGACCAACTTGTTGTAATCGCTACAATATACGTGTCCTTGCCAAAGAGAGAGAGAGAGAAAGCAAGCAAGCACCCCTCAATGAGGCATGGCCACACCACATTGCCTTGTCCTCCATTCTCCATCCTGTGAGGATTTTAGGTACACATGCACATATACCAGTTGTGTTTTTCTTTTTCTTTCTTTCCTTATTTCTTTCTTTCTTTCTTTCTTTTCTTTCTTTTCTTTCTTAAAATTTGCCAGAGGTTGTCTGTGCTTGCCACAGAGAGAGAGACAGGAGAAGGAAACAGGCCCCTCCCCCCCCAACGAGGCATGGTCACACTACAATCCCCTTTCCTCCAGCTCTCCATTCTTCTGGACATTTTGGGTGCACACATATGCCAGGTATATTTTTCAAGCCATCCAGGCCTAGATTCAGCCATGTGGGGTGGCCCTCCATTGACTAATTTGCAATAGAGAATGTATTGTGTTTTCTTGTTGTCATCTCTAGTTGAATATCTAATTCCCCTAATCATTTACATTACTTTGATTTTGTTTGGGTGTATTTAAATATTAACTTAGTTGGCTGGGGTGTGTTTTTTAGGTAATTCTTTTTCATCTGGGATTCTAGGCACTTATGATATTTGTCATCTTACACATCAGTGCATTTAGGTGTGGGCTCACAACAAAAGAAATTTGCATCCATAACGTGACTGGGAGAAGAGGGCTTTGAACACCAGGGAAGGCAGATGGAAGTTCTCCGTAATGGGATAGAATAGTTTTGCTTTTGTTTGGTGGACTGATTTTGTTTTATTTTAAAACATACATTATTTAGGGACCAGCAGATGGCATAATGGTTACGTCGCTGGAGTCCCACATAGTCGATCAAGGTTTGAGTCCCATACCTGGTGACTTAAAACTCATGCCAGGTGCATGTGCATGCAAGCCCAAGATCCCGAGAGGAGAATGGAGGACAAGGGATTGTGATGTGGCCATTCCCCCCAGGGGATGATTTCTTGATTTCTGTCCCTCTGTGTCTCTCTCTGTCTTTCCAGTGTGCACATGCACCCTATAGTAAAAATCTCTCTTTATCTATATCTATATATGGATACATTATTTAGCAGTGTTTCTTTTCTGAGCATAGTTGGCCTCGGAAAGATGTCTTGATTTTCTGTCTTCAAATGCAAACAGGTGACTATTTGTAGTCCGATAGATGGGAAAGATTGGTACTCACCATGGAGAGTCTCCTAAGCCTCAGACTCTGCTGAGTTTGATGGCAGAGGCTTTGACAAAGAGATAATGAAGTTTGGTTCTCCAATCCACTGCATGCATACCTGGGTAAACTGGACCAGTCAGTGTCATTGGGACTTAATTCTTCCTCCGTCTCCAAGAGATGGAATGACTCCTAACTCTATGAAGATCAAATAACTCACAGGGCCTTTGCACCTAGGACATATCACATATCTCTCTATATATTTATCTTTTTGGAACCAGAAATGTGGTTTCCAGGTCTACCAGTTTTATGACCTTGAGCAAGTTCAAATAACTTTGCTGCTTAAAGCTTCAGCTTGCTTATTTATAGAATGGTCCCATGTTGAGACCATTGCATCTGTTGTCTGGTAGTGTCTTGTAGATCAAATAAGATAATGTTCATAGACTATTCAGTGTAGAGCACTTCTTGGAAAAAAGAGACTCAGGTAAATTATATCCATATTAATAATAACCACAGCAATCTCTCTGGATTGCAGTTTTTCTGTAAAATAAGGAGGGTCTATTCACTTAGCCCCAAGGATTGTGCTTCTCCAACCCAGTCTTGTATATTGGCACTTTTCCTGTGTCTGGTGGGCTGGTGACTCTGTCTCATCACCGGTTTCCCTTTTTTTCAGCGTTGACAGAAGGCTACGTCGGGGCCCTGCACGAGAACAGACACGGCAGCTCAGTGCAGATCCGCAGGCGCAAGGCTTCAGGCGACCCGTACTGGGCCTATTCCGGTAAGTTGAATTGTTCTGATTGGAATCACACAGGCCAGTTAACATCCCATTAAACTCACTCGAAAGCACACTTTTAATCACGTTCACGCCTGAGTTCTGTTTGTTCAAACCTTTTGTAGTTCACTAAAAGTTGAAATATTCAAGCCTGGTTTTCTTCAAGGTTATAAGTACCTTAATTTATCTCTCCCACCTGTTTTCTCAACCTGTTTTTTTTTCCCCTCAATTTGCATTTATTTCTGAACTTTACTTGTTAATGAGTTATTGTACCAAACCTGTAATTTTCCAAAGGACACAGCTTTTTCCTTTTCTCTCTTCTTCTGTGACTGCAATTGCAGAAAGCAGAAAATATAAAGCTAGTCTTCAACTGCTAAATGTCTACTGAATATTACAAAGCACCAGATACCAAAAGCAGTGCAACTTAATTTTCAAATCGGATCGTGTTGGTCGAATGTATTTTCACTTTCTTTTCTACAGTGTTCTTCAGTTCTTTTCATTTTTATTTTTACCTTTAGCTTTCAAGCCAATGAATAGAGAGAATAGAGCATTGCTATAGCTATAGTGACTATTACATATGAAATAATTTTTTTACACTTTAAGGGGGAAAAAGTGAAGCCCTCCAGCAGTGTACATACCTTTTTGGGTTATGCTTCCCACAGCTATCAAAAATATGATAAGTGGATTGTTATTTCTAAAAGAGATTTTGATTCCCCCAAAATATATGGAAAGTGTATTATAGCTAATTAAGGAGGAATGCTCAAGGAAGATAGACCACTTTGGAAAATTACTTTGGCACTGAATAATTCAAATTCTTTGTATGAAAGGGCTTGGAGGCAAAGAGTATTAGTCTTCATAATAAATCTATGTATTATGCAATGTTGCATATAAAACGGAAAGGTAGCCTTTTCGTAATGATGCCTTGGTTTTAAACCCTAAATTTCCACCTGAAAATCCTGTTAAATTTATGTCAGTGTAAAATTTATAGGTCTGATCTTTAATTACACCTTATCTATTGGCTTTTTGCATCCTTTTGTCTATTGATAAATCTCCTGCCCCTACAGGGAGAATAGCCTATCTGTTTTGTTTTGCTACAAACAGATAGTGATTCTGAAGTCTTCCATCACATCCAGTGCTTTGTGATTAGAATTACCTAATTAAAGCCTTTTTTGTCACCATTTCTGATAAATGCAAGAAACTGGGAGATGAAAGCCAAAATTCCATATATACATACACATATATATGTATGTATATAGCTTCTTGCCAAGAAATTCAGAGAAAAATTTATCATTTTGTACTCAGTGGTGCTAGTATCGGTCGGAAGAGGCCTAAAGTGCCTGCTATTTACAGTTCATCAATTTAGAATAATAATGCTGTTACTCAGGAAATTGGAAGCTGTATTCTGTCAGCATCTCCAGTTGCAAATGGCAGTGAGGGAGTGAAAGACCTAAAACTTAGCCCATTGCTCAGTTAAATATGAGCATTAGTGCTGTCGCTGGGAAGGAGTGATTGTTGATGTCCTTAATGCTGGTGGACTTCAGGAGTCTCCATTTCTGGAATTCATTGTGTCTGGATTTGGGCACTGTCTGGATCAGTGGAATGGCTAATGGTAGTTCCAATTCCGGCTTTGGCACACTTTTTGAAAAGATTTAGATAGTTAATATTTTAGGCTTGCTGGGCATAAAGTCTCTTTTCCAACTACTTCAACTCAGTCACTGTAACATAAAAGCAGCCATGGGCTGTACTAGAGAGAGTACCTGTATTGTGATAAAAACTTTATGTATAAATACTAGAATTTCAGTTTTCTAGTTTTCAGCTGTCACTAAATATTATTCTTTTTTTTTCTTCAACCATTTTAAAATATAAAGCCATGCATAGACCAGTACTTTAAGCTGCAGCAAACCAGATGAGGGACTAAAAGCTGCAAATGTAGAGCCAGTTTGTGGCATGGAAGTTAAGGTGACTGGATCCCACATGACGGACTACACAGTTTGGTCCCAGATCCAGTGGCTTGGAAACACACGGAACACATGTGCATGTGTGCCCAATGTCCCCAAGAGGAAAAGGGATTACAGTATGACCATCTCCTTTGGTGGACACTTTCTCTATCTTATGCAAGTGCATGTGCCCTATAGCAAATTAAAAAGAAAAAAAATCTACAGATGTATACCGTTAGTGTAAATAAATGTTGCTTGTAAAGTGAGACAAAACCGAGGCTCAGTCTTTGTAGGAGAAAATATTTTTAAATTTAGCAAGGGCCAACCAAGCTGTTTCTGAAAGACTGACTTAATGGTTTACATTTTAATTTTGTGCCTTTAGCTCTCCAATTTGCCCAAGCTCCTCCTAAGATAATGCTATTGGTGTTTTGGCAGTAAGGCACGTGAGAATATGTACTGCAAAGTCCCATCAATAGACCATGGTTTAAGTTTTGCTATATAATAGCTTCATGATGTTGGAAAGACAGTTAATTGGTTGAAGCTGCAGTTTCCTCCTATGAAAAGGAAATAATTAATAGCATTTCCCTCATAGAATTGTGGAGATGACGTGAGATGATGTGTGCGGAAAGTTTGGCATATTTCTGACATAAAGTGAGGACCTAGTATTACGTCTTGCTATTTTTGACACTGTTAACGTTTGCTGAAGTTGGTGTTTTTGTTATTGAATTCTCAGTGGGTAGGCACAATTGATAATGTATGGTAACTATTGGGTTGCCGGGAAAGTCATGGCACATTTTTGCCTAGAAAGAAATGTCATGACTCTACCGACCACCTAATAGATACTCTTGAGAGCTAAACAAGTGAGTCCGTGAGTAGTAATTCACAAATGTTGCCCATTTGGATTTGGGGATCAGGATTAAGTCGACTCTCCTCAAGTTGAGAAGTTGGCAAACTACACACCGTAGCCTTTTTCTGTAAACCAAGTCTTAGTGGAACATACCCGTGCACATGGCTTTGCACTCTGTCACTCCAAACTCGACAATGCCCTTTGACTGAAAAAAAAGCTAGGTTGGATATTGCTGTCTGGCCCTTTATACAGAGTTTGCCAACTCCTGCTCATATTAATATAGCCTGGATTTTTGAGCAGATGTTAATCTGACTCATTCATATACAGAATTGTTCAGAGATTTGGAAGACAAATTTTTTTCCTTGCATTTCTTTTGAGAATAGAATATCCTCAGCAAGTCTTCTTGTTAGCATTTATAGTAGTTCTGGTGATCCTGCTTTTGGAAAGAACTTGGTAAGAAGTAGGATGAGTGAAGTGGGATGTGTTGCAGGGGGTGGATTTGGGAGATGAACGAGCGAGTGTTGACTGTTCTCCTTACCATGTCCCTCACTGAAGGTCTCTCTCTCTCTCTTTTTGTCTATTTTAAAGAATTATTTATTTAACCCTATTTGTTTATATTAATTTGACCAGAGAGGGACAGAGCGAGAGAGAGAGAGGGAAAATGAGAAAGCAAGCTGCCAGGTCCAGGACTCGAACTGCAGTTGGCCATGTGGGAGTCCAATGTCCTGAATCACCATACCACCTGCTGACCCCCCAAAGGTCTCCTATTCTGGGGTGGAGTCGGGCGAACATTGCTGACCCTGTTATTCTCTTGGCATTCCAGCGCAGTCAATGAGGAGAGTTTCATGAGTTTTTGAACTGTGGATAACTTGTTTTTAGGATATTGTCATGACAGTAATTCTTTTTTTCTTTTCTTGTCATTTTTTTTTTTTAATTTAAGGTTTTCGCCATAAGGTACATGCACTCGCCAAAAAGAGAAAGAAAGAGAGAGGGAAAGTGAGATGTCCCAGGGGCATGGCCATGTCACAATTCCTTTTCTTCCATTCTCCTCTTAGGATTTGGGGCATGTGCATACACACTCCTATTGGAACATTGCAGCAGCTGGATTTGGGACTTGAACCATGGTTGACCATATGGGAGTTCAGAACCTTAACCACATACACTTGCTGACTGCATAACAATAGTTCTTTAATACTAGAGTAGTGATTCACTTTTCACTTTAGTACTAAACAAGTTATTTCATCCCTGTGGATAATGTAGATACCCTATGTGTATCTGAAATGTTAGGAAACTTTACTTTTGTAATCATGCCTTTGTGAGCACCCTACAACTTTAGCATATTGAACTATATGTTGAAAAGCAGTTATTTGATGATGAGTTATCTCTGATTTTTAATTTAGTCTACTGGAAAACAGGTCATAGTATCTGAGTTCATTGTGGGAAATGATTCATAAAAGGTATGAAGTTGAGCATAAATCTAAGATATGTTGAAGTGTAAGGCTAGTCCTGAGCTGAATAGTTAAGGGCATGGAATCCATCATGGCTGACTGCAGTTCAGATCCCAGCCCTGGTGGCTTACAAAACATGCCAAGCACCTGTGCATGCCCAGAATTCTGACAGGATAGGGAAATAAAGAAGGGATTGTGGCAATGAGTGTGGTCTCTCTCTCTCTCTCTTTATCTCTCTTTGGTGTGTGCACACAACCTCTGGAAATTAAAAAAAAAAAAATCTAAAGGGATCAGCAGTTAACGTAATGGCTATGTCGCTGGACTCCCATGTAGTCGACTTTGGTTTGAGTCCTGGACCTGGTGGCATAGACTCACGCCAGGCGCGCGTGTGTGTGCGCCCAAGATCCCGAGAGGAGAATGGAGGAGAAGGGATTGCAGTGTGGCCATCCCCCCTGGGGGTGATTTCTCACTTTCTGTCTCTCTCTGTCTTTCTGGTCTTTCTGGCGAGCACACATGCCCTATAGCAAAAACCTCTCTCCCCACGCAAAAAAATCCAAAAATAATAGCAATGTAATTTTTAGATTGCTTTATGCTTTGGATTTCTTTTTCCTTAAGCCAACATAGACAGGAAACAAAGAAAATGACCTCTTTATGTATTTTATGCAGAATTATACCCCCCAAAATTTGATACTTTAAGAATGTCTCATTGAAAATATTAAAATAATTTCTTTGTTAGTTATACTCAGCTAAGATGTAGGTGTTTTTCTGTGTTAC